TGTTTCTCTCCACAAAAAAGGTAAAGTGTATCAATGATACGTTGATCACAAAAGCCACAATATATTTCTTAAACTTCAAATGAGACGATGCACCACGGAATTAAGCGCTCGTTAAGATAGCAGGAACGAAGAAATCAGAAGTTAATGCCTCAGACCATAATTGTTATTTCATGTCTGAAGTAACTGTAAAACGAAATTCGCACAATATTCGAAGTTCTCATCGAGACAGAGAAATCGAAAAACGCATTGCATTATGTTGTAACAGCTGAGAACATAGAGAGAAACCAGAGGGAGGTAGTCGCCGTAAACATCATTCGAAAAGAACAATTATCCCAAGTGGTTGCCCTCTCATTCGTTGAAATCCTCTTCCATCCAGCACTCGTCAGCAATGGAGATTAGCAGATGAATAGTTCTTCATCAGACTTTTGCCTCCGGCTGTCAGTTTGAAGGACATGTCGATTAAAATCACAGGGAGTTTGTTCTCCGGATTTCGCCCAGAGTCAATATTTGCTCTTCTCCTTGTAATGACCGTGCCGCCATTCTCCAAAGCAGCAACAGGCGCCGCTTTCTGCGTCTCTGAACACCCCGGAAGTACACGCACTCGTTATAACCAGCACTGAAACAATCAAATAAAAATTCCTTTCGTCCGCCTTATCTCCTCTCCACGCAGACTTTACACACACTCCTACACCTGCTAGCTAGATAAAGTTTTTAGACTCCCTATCAAGGATATTCTTCTTATTGCATACGTACAAAAAGTGAAACATTCTCTCTGTTTTCTCTTCAAAGGACAATCAAATAGTGGTTAAAATTGTTATGGTGTTCAATACATTGAACCTCTTTCCCACAAATCACAGCCCCATGCTTGGGGAATTAAAAGAAACAAAGGCGAAGAAAGGAAATAATATAGGTTGAAAGTTGCCATACAATTTTAGTTTACAAACATGCTGTCTCTTGTCAAGGGCTCAGGTCCTGTAACTGTCTCCTAACAACACCTTATATGAACAACATCGCTCTTTCTTTCATGTAACTCATTATGAGATATGGCTGATCAACCACTTTGCTCATAAAAAAGACCTTGTTATGGCAGTATCGAAAAAATGTCCTTGTGTTCATGTTGAAAAAGTTTGTTCTGACTATTCTATGTTATGGTTGTTGGAAGAAATTCTTATCTGAATCAAAGAACTCGTGCCACAAAGGTTAAGGGGTTGATACTCCTACGTCCCAGCTCCAGTCTGTCCTATGCTCAGACTTTCACAGATGCCGGAGACGCCAGCAGTACAACGCCTGTGATGGTCAAGGTGACCAAAACAAAACACGTGAGTAGAAGACGATCAGTAATCTGCGCCACCTGCTGCCATTCCAGTTTAATCCCCTCTCGTTTATCCTGCTCCGCTAATCGTATGTCATTACGCTCAATTGTCTGATAAACTCGTTGAAGAACTCGGGAAAAATACGCCTCGAAGCCTGTGAGCTCGGTATTTTGCTGTTCCGAGGAAGAGCCACCGTTGCCATTGGAACTCCGAAAGGAGGTAAATGCCCGTGGCACGGCACCGTTGCTCTGAAAAGATTCACTGTCCAGGGGCAGTTCAACGCGGTTTAGAGGCGACATCTCGTGGGTTTGTTTCAGCTCCTGGGAAAAGACGAGAAAACTTTTATCAGCGGAAGAAATGGTAGGATTGATTATCAATTTTTATTTCTGGAAGGGTGGTGAGTGTGATTATCTGTAATTGTAAATTAATGATTTAAGACGCTTAAATCTTTTAAGAGAAATCAGGTAGGGTAAACATTTAGAAACCAGACAAACTCAATAAAATGTACAAGCTGAACTGGGAAACGCCTGAGACGACACCAGCGTAATCTCCTAATACCATGGTAAAGTACACAAACCCCTTCTTAAAAAACAGACACAAACAAAAAGGAAAACCTTTCTCTTCAAGCCTGACAATTGCGAACGTGCATTCTGTTTCTTAAGACAGAAGCAATATCGTCAATTCATACATCTAAACAGAAATAATCTCGACATTTCAGAAAGGAACACGTGCATGTGCTGGTTTATTTCCATCACAATAAGCAGATTGGTTTGAAATCTGTGCAGCCGACGGTATGAACGACGGCATGAATGACAGTATGAACAATCTGTTTCCTGTATTTGGGTCTTTTGCTGTGTGGACAACTTAACTTTACCAGCTCAAAATAGCAGTAAGTCTTAAAACTCATAAATACCCACCCGTAGTGGAGATTCTTGAAAAGTTGAGATAGATAGATAGATAGATAGATAGATAGATAGATAGATTGATAGATAGATAGATAGATAGATAGATAGATAGATAGATAGATAGATAGATAGATAGATAGATAGATAGATAGATAGATTGATAGATCCGTGTCATTTGCGATCTTCAATAAAGACAGATTAGATTAGATAGGAAAAGATGATTGTGAACTCATTTCTCGGATGGTTAAACTAGTCACATAATTAAGTAGAGAAACATTTTTCAGATAACGATCCACGCAGTTGCGAGCGCCGTAAAACCCTATACTACTATTACTACTAGATAACGATCCGTGTCATTTGCGATCTTCAATAAAGACAATTATTACATAAATAAAAAGTGAGACAAAAACACTCAGAAAATGACTGAACCATTCTAGTGACCGTCAGTCTTTCTTTTGTTTGCTTAAATTTCAGTGCAGTACGTACAGTATACTGTAGTTCTTTATATACACCATTTAGTATGTATCCATTATAATATGAAGAAGAGCCTCCCCTTAAACTTATATTTTTTCATTGGCGGGCGCTCTTAAGTGGTTTGCTCCTTCTTTCCAATCAAACATATTATTGTCCTTATCTCTGCTTTTTCTTGTATCTTACTCTCCTGCAACACATCTGTTCTTCGGCACGTATATGTCCTTATTGTATTACAAGTGCCGTAAAACTCTTACTAAAACTAAACAAGAAGTCTTATTGTATATTTCTTTTGTCGTTCTTTTAAGGCCATCATGCACAGTCATTTTGTGATAACTGTAGAGAGATGTTCTCAAGAATACCATGTTTAGTTGGTCAGTGTCCTGTTGGTTTGCCACTTTAAAGCGGATGTAGTTTGATGCTCCTCCTGGTGTTCCATTGCAATCGGGGGTGAACTGTAAAATCATAAATACGTCTTGATTACTGAAGATAGGGACAGAGGAGAGAGAGACGCAGAGAGAGAGAGAGAGAGAGAGAGAGAGAGAGAGAGAGAGAGAGAGAGAGAGAGAGAGAGGGGGAAAAGAGAGAGAGAGAGAGAGAGAGAGAGAGAGAGAGAGAGAGAGAGAGAGAGGGGGGGGGAGACTGAGACAAAAGAGAGAGAGAGAGAGAGAGAGAAAGAGAAAGAGAGAGAGAGAGAGAGAGAGAGAGAGAGAGAGACAGAGACAGAGACAGAGACAGAGAGAGACAGACGTGACGATTCACTCGATACTAATCATTACCCCGCGTTGTAAAGACAAAGCTGTCAAACCGTCGTCTGGACATTGGAGCAGGACATATCATAATAGAAGACAAGATAAAATAAAACTTTTCTTAAATAAAGAGCTGAATATCAATTTGTTATGGATGTTATTTAAAGGGAAAGATCAAGTCAGTATCTTAATAATAATGCTTCTTCACGATAGTGAAAAAGGATAAATCTAAAGTCATCTCTAAGATGACACCAATTGGTATGTTTTAATTGAATGATAAACCTATGAATGTGTACATTTCTGTTTAAACGGAAAGTGCCGTTCACGGATCATAAACTCATTGAGATATTGAACCCTATATGCCAAATAAAGCATAGTGACTTTATAATTTTAAAGTCCACTTTAAAGAGAATGAAAACTATCTCCTAAAACAACGTCTTATCTTTTACCAGTGGACGATCTATGCAGATCCACACTTGGTACTTACCAAACTTACGTGTTTCTCGTCCCATGTATCCACTTTCATACAGAACATTTTGGCGAGAAAGTCAAAGCAGATTTTCTTGATGACCATTGGCACGGCTTTACCTCGTGACCCTTTGTGATGAATATTTAACGTGAACACCGTCATTGCCGTGGCAAACGACACGATGAATATCGTCATTCCATAATAGATCCCTGGGGAAATATAAAATGAAACCAAAAACAATGTAGGTGTTTTGCGATTTTACGCCCCCTTGAACACAGTTTAGATAATTTAAGAAGAGGGTTTCGAAAATAACACTATCAGAGAGGGAAACAACGCCCCAGCTGAAAGAATGTATGCTTCCCGGGAAGCTGAGAATGTTTCGGAGTGTTCTATGGTCTGCTGGGGTAATAATATAGTGTAAAGCGCATAGAGCCTGATGTTGAGCGAGGATATGCGCTATACAAATGCTATCTATTATTATTATTATTATTATTATTATTAAGAACAAGGTACCCGATAAACATTCCCCCCACACAATATTCAAACTCAGATCTTATGTGTGCGACTGCAAAGTGCCTAATCCCTACACCACAGAAACCGTAATAAGAGTAGTAGTTAGTCATAAAGCCTGTGATAATATATTAAATTAGGTATCGTACTCTTTATGTTAGAAGAAGCACGGAATCGTCAATTCATAATTATTCCCCCGTCGACACACTTGGCAGGCAACTGATCGCCACTACTACTGTTAGTCCAGCAACATTTGCTTTTAAAAATGGGTTTACGGAAAGGAGAGAACAAGGGGGGAAGGGGGGGGGGGGTGCCGAAACTCCACAACCCACGAGCATAACGTATAAACCTCAAGGGGTGAAATATTTTCCTACCAACGTCAATGCTCAAGTAAAATGCTTTGATGCTTGTAAGTTCTTAATCTCCTCATCGAAACTATTTGAACATTTAGGTGGCAAGACGAGGTTAACCGCGATACTTTCCGTTACAAAAACGGAGGCGGTCGATTAAAAGAAAATACAATAAAGAGCTCAACAAAGAAGGACCCATTCCCCTTGTGGGAATTCACGTATCTGCTTGAAAC